AAACGATTTCATTTTGAAAAGAGATTATAAGAATGGAGATATTAAGGGTGTCGTCCAATACTTGGAGAACGTTGACTGGATTGGTTCCTTCAGTACGGTCGGTAGTGTAAACGAAATGTACGAAATGCTGGGTCGGTAGTAATCTGGTCGACTCCGAGTTTGAAGCTCCGCGTTAACTCAGAGAAACTCTGAGTTCCGCTTTTGAAACTCTGGGTTACGCTTATTGAAACTCTGAGTCCCGCTTTCGTAATTCCGAATTCCAACTCTTAAGCTCGGAGTTTTGCTTTGAGGAGCTGTTAAGCACTTTGCTGCAAAAGCGACGTTAAAGTAGGGACTCGAACCTGTATGGTCTAGCGTAAAGATCCTATCACTAAACCGCTAGACCATGACACACCCATGAACCCTAAAATTGCTTTGCCATAATGTACTCACTCATTCCATTAACACTTAGCAGGTCAAAACAAGTTATACCAAAGCCTCACTCATTTCCATTTCTATCGGGCAGTGATGGTTCATCACGAGGATTGGTCTTTTGCGCAGCTGAAAGCTTCAAACAATAGAGAAAGCGGATGGTATACGCAATGATAAGAATTGACTATTGGGATTTGCACACAGAATAAATCCTCCGGGCAAAGTTTGCCCTTCCATGATTTCGTCTTACTTACAGTATACCTATCGTAACCGTTCCATATGTCACCAGTGTATGTAGCAGATAGATTGTCCGTAATCTGCATCCCGAATAACTCTCGTGTACCAAATTTCGGCTAATTCCGCCGCTTTAATTCATCTACCGTAAACCTACCGTAACCCTGTCAGATGACACTGCAGTACAATCTACATGTCATATTCGTTATCGGCGCCCCGAATAACTCCAGCGTACCAAGTTTCGATCAGTTTCGTGATTTTCTCCTATCTACCGTAAACCTACCGTAACCCTGTCAGATGACACTGCAGTACAATCTACATGTCATATTCGTTATCGGCGCCCCGAATAACTCCAGCGTACCAAGTTTCGATCAGTTTCGTGATTTCCTCCTATCTACCGTAAACCTACCGTAACCTCGTCAGATGACACCACAGTATAATCTGCATGTCATATTCGTTATCGGCGCCCCGAATAGCCCCAGTGTACCATGTTTCGATCAGTTTCGTGATTTTCTCCTATCTACCGTAAACCTACCGTAACACCTCTACATGACCCCGTAGTGAAAAATGGGTACCATATGCGTGACCAGCCCACCGAATAACCCCTGGGCCAAGTTTTTACAAAATTTCAAAATTTTGTAAATCACTGCGCACCACGATACCCCCATCATGCCTGCTTAAACTACGAGCAAAATGTACCCCGGAGGACTTTTTAGCTGCCCCTCTTCTTTTGCACACTATTTCTCTTTCTCTGACCAAACTCAGAGTTATCTCTGAGTTCTACGATAGACTGGAACGCGCATCAAACTCAGATTTATAGCAGACACTAGTTGCGCGTTTGGTGGCGCTGTTTCTTGTGCAGGACGATTTGGACAATGTTGCGCTGCTAGGAATAAACTACGTGTTAAGGAGAATCCTGCCATATCATCGCTTTCCGGATTTGATCTGTTCAAACACCTGTTAAAGGGGTCAAAAAGGTGCGCGTTAGCTCAGAGATAACTCAGAGTTAACTCTGAGTTATAACTCTGAGTGATAGGTTTACTACCGACACTGATTTTTGTAATCCAACATGCAATCGATCTCTTTATCCCAATGAAGTTGGTACCATCAAGTAGACAGTTTGTATCTTCACACGTCGCAAAGTTGTCCAGGATCCGAGAGGCGGCATGGTTTAGGTTTAGGTCAACGAGTATAGATGAAGATTTAATGAAATTCAAAAATGTTAATTCACATTTTGAGAGGAAACTCAAAAAAATTTAATACATATTTAGAAAGAAAGATAATCAAAACCGGAAATAGGACCGCATTTTACCGCCTACTAAATGCCAGGCTTAAAAATAGAAAAGGGATGGAAGCTATCATGTCTGATTCCGGAGATATTTTGACCTCGGAGCTTGAAAAAGCCGAAAATTTCGCTAAGGTGTCTTTGAAAAAGTATTTGTTGAAGAAAACTATTCATCAGATCATGCCTCCGTTGAACGGAATTTTGAAGAGATGAAAGAGTTCCGTTATTTTGATGATTTTGACATCTACAAACTCCTTCGGAAATGGCCTCGATCAAGGTCTCTGGCTCCTGATTTGATACCTTTGCATTTCATCAAAGAGGTAGCTCACATAATTTCAAGGCCATTGCAGTTTATATTCAATTTGAATTTACTTAGGTCAGAAGTTCCTGACAGATGGACAGTCTCTTTTATAACTCCTATACAAAAGAAGAAACCTTATACTTGCACTCATAATTACCGTCCCGTAAGCATAACGTCCATATTTGCGCGCCTTTTCGAAAAGTTGATCAAAATTCAGATAAATTAACACCTTAAGAAACATAACATAATACCGCAAGCACAGCATGGATTTCAAAAAGGTAAATCAACAGTAACCTCTATTTTATACACGCTCAATGACTGGACTATGGCGTTAGATTCTGGCATAAGTACTGATGTATTTATCTAGATTTCACTAAAGCATTCGACAAAGTACCGCATTCGAAGCTCATTCTCAAAATGAAATCAATAGGAATACACCCCATAGTCGCTTGGATTTCTGCCTTTTTATCTAATCGCAAATTCACTGTTCATATTAATCGTACTTTTTCAAAGCTCAGAGCAATGACTAGTGGTGTACCGCAGGGTGGCGTCCTCTCACCAATTCTTTTTAACATCTATACTTATGATCTTCCTGCATTAGTCTCAAGATTGGGAGTGTCGTGTTTCGGTTTCGCTGATGATTTCAAAATTTATGCTACAGTATCAACAGATGAAGACAGAGTCAAGATTCAGCGAACGCTAGATGCAGTGGTTGCGTGGTCAATAGATTGGAAGCTACCCATATCTCGTGAAAAAACTAAGGTACTCCACAATGGTCCTGCTGACTCACATTATCGATATCAGTTTGAAGGAGAGTACTTGATTGTGTCAATGAAGTGAGAGACTTAGGGTTTTTGTTCAACAGTAACCTGAGCTTCGATAAGCACTGTGAGGCAGTTGCGGCGAGAGGTAATGCGGCAGTATATAACTTATTCAGAGCATTATCAACTAGTGACACATGCCTTCTCATTAGGGCTTATAAAACTTATATCAGGCCGTTACTAGAGTACGGCACTGTAGTATTTAACCCTACAAAAGCCACTTCAATTCGGGTGCTTGAGAAAGTACAGAATAATTTTACAAGGAAATTGCTTATACGGACCAAAGGCTTTCGGTATGAACAAGTACCCAAGGGGACGCTCAGAAATAAGGAACTCAGGTTATTTAGTTTAGCCATGAGAAGGAGGATGTTTGATCTTATTACAGCACATAAGATTATATTCAAGGACTATCAACTTGAGCCGTTCTCCTTGTTTGCAACTAGAAGTTCTAAAACTAGGGGAGGTTCAAGGAAGATAGTGATACCTAGAGCAAGGAGAAACGTAAGGAGAAGATTCTTTGTTAACAGAATTAGTAGTGATCTGGATAGACTGATGAGAAGAGGAATGCTTCCCGTAAAGCTTTCCCAATTTAAGACGCTTTTAAGGGACTATTTGCTTTCGCAATAAAGGAAAAAACTTTTTTTACTTCTCTCTTCGTTTTTGTAGTCTATTGTTACTAACAAACGGTTTTTATGTTTTGTAGCACTTTTCTGTTGATGGTTAATGCATAGGACATCCTATGTAATAAATGAAATGAAAATGAAAAGAAACAGTCGAATTATTTCATGTGAGCGTGTGTGCCGCTGCACACGCAGTCCACCCTTGGAGTTCCCATCCTGGATTCTTGGAGGGGACAACTTTTCAGGTAGGTGTTTCCAATGTGTTATTGAATTTTACTTTCTCATCTAGGTACTTATCAACTCAGATTGATGTAATCGATAACATGGTAAGTCTCTTGCGTTTCTGCGATTGCAAATCCAGGATGAGGACGCCAAAGGTGGACTGTGTGTGCAGTGACACATATGATCATATAAAATGATTTGACTGTAAGAAACATTTTAGCATTTTACAAAATCTCTTCAAAACTCTGTAATCTCATTCAATGGTGGATACCTATTCAAAGAGCATCCCAATCAATTCCCACCTCTCTTTTTGAGTAGAAATATCGCAAAAAAATCTTCCGATAAAAAGCTGGGGATTTTTCTACTCTAAAGGAATGTGATAGCGATGATTTCGAGATATCCTGAAAGTATTGAGGAGCGTCCACAGGTACACCTAGGAGAGAAATCGTGTATGAAGATCTGTGAACTTACGAAGGAGTTGCTGCGTCGCAAGAGGATGTGCTCAGTAAACGTAGCGCAGCAACTATGTACAATTGTTTATAGATTAAAATATTTTGTAGACAAAATCTGATATCCTATGCATTGTTTTTGACATCTTCATACTCACTTTGAGGAATTGTTGGATGCTAGATGATAAAGAAAGGGAAAATCAAATTGGCTCCTTTTTGAGCTTTTTGCGATCCGTCAGGATACGAGTTTCCTTGTGTAGCTAAAATCTCAACTGGTCTATAGTATAGGGCAAGGAAGAGTTATGTATATTACATGCAGCCAATTTGAACTTGATACTCTGGAGGTGGGTGGTACGCTGTTGAATTTGGCCTTCAAGCGATACTGAGAAATTTGGATATTCGAGCGCTCATGACTTTTTCATAAAAGTTGTTCTGCAGAAAAGAAAGGGAGATTTGGAATCAGCGTTCAAAGCTCCGTCCGGTTGCATACATCTGTTTTTGATTCGCATGCGACTCGAAATCCTTCTCTTTTTAGTGTGTTGCTAGTCTTCGAGTTTTTTTTTGACCAAAGCTCAAGTAAATAATAAAATGCCGGGGTAGTTTTAAATATTGTGAACGAAAGGCACACTGAGTAGCCTTAAGATTTTATTTCTGTTGTTACTGTCTTTTGAAAATATCGTCTTTAACATCTGCTAGTGTCTCATATTGTGGGTCTTTTGCATCGGCTTTCTGGATCTGTAAAAAGCTTTGCTCTGACTGGTCACTTATAGAATGACGAATGATGTCAAAACTTTACCTTTGGTGGCTGCTTGAATTTATCCTTTTCTGCAGCGGCATCGACCTTCTTACTTTTACTTTTGTTCTCAGGCTTCGCAACATTGAACAGCTCGTTACCTATTCCTTGCAGCGTCTAAGTGCGATGAGTTAAATATCGATAGCTGTCAACTTTTAGTTAATCAATATGTACCTCATATGCCGGGTCTTTCGCGTCTGCCTTTGCTATGTTTGGAGGAGGCTTAAACTTCTTTCTGTCCGGATTCTTGTCTTCGTCCGATGATCCCTGCGAAAGTTTGAAACTTTTTGATAACGGCTTTCAATAATTGTCGACGAATATTACCGGAAGTGGTGTTGGAGGTCTTGCATCTTTAGCTTCCTTGTCTTCTTTCTCGACCTTCTGATCGCCTTTCATCGCGTCTTGACTTCCCGGCATTCTATGTTCCGCCAGCTTCGCAAGCTCTCGCTCCTAGACCAAAACTCATAACCGGATTCAATATGTAAAGTAATCATTCTCACCGCTTCTTCTGCACTTTTCGCTTTAGCGGCTTCAACAGATTTTTTGGGCGACTTCTTAAACAAGTAATTTTAGTGGTCAAACACATAGAAAAGACCCTTTGAAAAGATCTTATAAAGATGACAGCAAAAGATGTTCTCAGGAAAGTTTTGCTATTGCTTTAAGGACGAGCTAGTCAAAGTTGATATTTGTATTTTGGCCTTCTTTGGATGCAAAAGTTTGAACATAACAAAACAGTTGGAGAATATGACAGAAAAGATTAAGGGAGATACATTGCGTTTGGCAATTTTCTCTAGCCATTCAAAGATGGCAAAACATAGTTATTCCCATTCTGCTTGCCATGCGTACCTTATTTTCAACTTGAGGTGATTTGGCTTTATTAGCACGATGCATGGTCTCACCAGTGTACGTAAGTTGTGGCTGAAATTGATTCCAAGTTATTTTAGTTTGCACTATAAATATCTCACATCTTTGAGCATCAGGACAGCCACATCTCTCTCAAACTCGTTCACATCTGGGTCGAATCGCAGCTGCTCAGCACTCAATTGAAGCACTGATCCGGTGATCTAAACGCCTTGTTGAAACTTTTATTCAGAGCTAGCTTCATCTTACCGAACTATTTTCTACTAGCTTTGCAGCGGATTTTAAATTGTCGTCACAGTCTTTTAATCTTTCGAGAACCTGTGCGTAATTTGCTCTTATAACCTCTTGAAGATTCACTAAGAAAACCACTCACCCTGGACACCTTTGTATGAATTGCCCAAGCTATACAATGGGATAGAATCGAGAATAACAACCCAACAGAGAATATGACAATTTCTGCTACACTCATCTGCAACATCCATACTTTGACAATGACATAGCGTCAGCTTCTGACATACACTAACAGTGAGCGAAAGCTTATTAACCAGAAACTATGTAAAATGAACTTGACTGCACGACGCGTTGCTTGTTGCTTTCGTAAGCTTTGATATAACATTGCATAAGAATACGAGTAGGTTTCATAAACCATTTTCCTACATGCCATACAACCACCGAAAACCTGGTACACGTTCTTCTACTTGCTCCCAATTTCTGCATACCTTGATACATGACTCTGCGTTACTCATTGGTGCATTCGATCTTATTTGCCGAACGCATGTTTGAGAAGAAATAGAGCTTGTAAGAGCGAACGCAAAAATATTCGCACCGAGAAAGATTTCATTAGATTTTCCAAGTATTAGCTGACAGATTTAGCAAATAGGCTTGCATCTTAGAGGTCTTTCTCAGCTAATCAGAAATTTCAGAGCCGACTTAAGCCAGAAAGGAAAGTATCGTTTGTCTTCATAGACTTTGTCAATGGCCTATAGCAGACAGACATCTCCAGCTTCGAGACTTTATTTCTAGAAGAAAGTGTTTGCTAGAATTGAGGATTGAGCGATAAGAAGAGCGTGGGAAACAAGCTGTTAGCGTAAGTTTACTCCTACACTTTCCGTGATAATCAGTGCGAGCCTCTGCGAATCAGAGGTAAAGCACTAATGAATTTAACACGTTTCGGATCGTGAAATCGCGTGCGGCGAAAAAGAGTGTACTTTTAGCCCTTAGCCAATAAAGAGACATTATTTCATAGACTGTGTGCTACGTCTATAATCAGCATGCCAATGAGCTTCATACCCAAAGTTCTGAGCGAATTTGAAATGTTCGAAATTTGTCGCTTGAGAAGGACTTCTGTGCTTTCCTGAAAGATGGGAACAACGACTCAATTTCTAATAGTACCCAAAAGTATCTATGTTGTACACAGTACACATCACCACTAAAATCACTGTTTCTCTCTTTTAAATAGAAGCAAGGAAAAGTTGCGACGTCGCACGCGTCGTTCGCGTTGCCGCACCTCGTTGCAACCGTTGTTCGATTTGTCCTCATATCTTCTAAAGAAATATCTGCGGCACAGCTCTACAGAGTCATTTGAAAAGAAGGAGCTTAGGCTTTTGACTTGATATCCTTGGACAAAAAGAAAACCTCCTGTAAATGTTAAAGAAAGCCTTCAAAGCCGCTGCTGCACCATATGCAGCACCGGTCTGAAACGTGTTAAAAAGAAATTGGTGTGCAATGCTTTTCTGAGGCTTCGAGCAGAGTTACGCGATTTCATCGTCACGATTCATCACGACGAGGCAACTTTAACAATATCATTGCATGCCGATCTTCTTGCATTTCGATTGTGATACTTTTCCAACACGACTAAGCGTGACTAATTATAACAACCGAGATACAAGAAAATTGGAATGTAACAATCGTGACACTTGTCTTGCTGCGATGAATCGTGACGATAAAATTGCGTGAACTCTGGCCGACGCCCAAAGGGCCGAGCATACTCTACGCGATTTCATACTTCACGCCTAACCAACAAGAAAAACGAGGTAGCTGAAAAGTGGCAAGTTCCGCCCCATTGGTCCTACTCTCCCACTTTCTCAGGCCCAAGGCATACCTCACGCTGTTTCAGTCGCCACGTGATCTGGCACTTTGCCAGATGTCTTCAAATTCAGTGCTGTTAGGCCTAGGGTATAGTGTCCACGATACCGTCGCGCTGCGATTTCTGAATTACGACAACTGTTATGCACTCGTTGTATGTCTATGCGTCTGCTACGGCGCTTGTGATACTCGTCCGGCGCGACGGATCGCGGACCCTTTTTAGCTAGGGCATAGTTCTGCAGCGATAATCGCCGCGATTTCGGCCAGACTCAGCGATGTCGCGTCGCGCGTGCTGCACGGGCGACTGGGCGATATCGCTGAGGTGCGAGGGACACCTTGAGAGTTTTTTCTATGCATGCATTGTTCTTTCACCTCGTTTTTGCTTGAAAAATAAGAAAATCTCTTCTGAAGTAGTGATGATTATGAACTGTCGTGTTAGCCGTCGTTTACTATTTTTTAAATCAATAAGAACTGGTTCGTTTTTTGATGTTTTTCGTGGGCGACATGCGAAATAACTGCAGTTGCAAACGAGTTTATCGAGAGTTTAACGATAAAAACTTTTACGGATTTCTTTCAATATCCTGCAAGTTTTCAAAAGCTAGATTTCAGAAATTTGAAATTCTTTGTGTAAATCAAGACACCTGCTAGTATACTTAACAACTGTTTTTGTGTCTTAGTATGAAACCAAACGCTAGGCGTTCACACTGGCTTTGCAACTTTCAAGGTATCTTGTCGGTCACCTGCAAGATCTTTCTTATGCCGAAGATGCTCGATCACACCATTGAAGTACTATGTTTGATAAAAGACGATGACACTTCTAATGTTCTCAGCACAAAAAGAAGCGAGTCACCATGGGGGTTAACATTGAGGATGCCAGTGCCTACATGGCTGCGCGGGATGAAATGGTGTTTAAATGGCGTCCTGTACGTGCAAAAATTTGTCATGCGTGTGAGTGCACGCAATCGCGCCCACTATGCCCATGCACGCGCGACGGACGACTTCGTCGTCGCGATCTCGTCGCCCAAACCATCGATTTCCCCGGCGATGAGATCGCGGCGACGAAATCGTGGACACTATGCCCGTTCCCTTAGGCCCCGAAGGCACAGCACTTATGACCTTCGTAAGCTGATAAAATGCCCTATCTTCCGTACATTCAGACCCCTTGTGTTACGACCAATTGGAGTATTGCCAAATCGCGTCGCGATTAGAATTCGCGCGAGGTATGTTTTGCCGCGAGGCGGTTTGGCAATTTGCCAAAAGTCTTCAGGTCCAGCACTAGCAAAATACACATGTAGAGTGTGTATAAATTACGTGGAATAATAAAATGCCCTGACTTCTGTACATTTAAAATGTGCTTACAGTGAGTATGGACATTTGGAATATTGCCAAACCTCCTCGCAGCCGAAATCGCGTGAAGTATGCCCGGCCCATAAAAGGGCTAACAATTTCATTTTCAGGCTCAAAACACGTTTTCGAGCTATGCTCTTTCACGAGGCACTAGTGTAAAGTCGCCGGGCTCCTTTTGTTCTTCTGTAGTTTTCTATTGTGTTTATCCAGTCCTTTTTAGCCAATTTGTATGTGTTTATTTGGTGTTTTAATGGTTTTGCTATGTTTTGATTGCTTCGTGCTGGGACCGCGCGCATGCACATCTTCTCGGGCTGCTATATAAGGCGGCTCCGCTTGGCTCAAATCAGTCTTGTTGTCGGTGCTACGAGGAGTGCGGTCGGGTCTCAATCGAGGAGCCAAGCCGAGGAGACGTGGACGCGCCGATCGCCTGGAGGATCGTTCTTCAATAAAGGATTGCATCATACCCCTGGACACCACGCCGAGCCCCCGCAATAGCGCCTAGAGTAGGCCTCCTATTGCGTGACATAGAAGAGAAACCCAGTCCCTCTTCTTCTTGACATAGGGGCCGAACCGAAAGGAGAACTCCTCCGCTGGAATAACCGTAGAAACGGTTAAGGCGAGTAACCTGCCCTAAGAGAGGCAGAGTATATTACCCTTGCGAAAGACTCGGTGTTCAGCACATCGAGCTTTTTCGTTTGTGGGATCGCAGAAGCGCGGCAGTTTACACCGCCAGCTTCAACCCTAGGGAGAGGAGCGTACGCGCGTGTACCGGATACTGCACCTTCTGTGTCAGGAAAATATACGGAGAGACGCGAGTTATCACTTACACGCAGGGCCCGTACATTGGCTAGAGGCGGAGCAAAGGCGCGTGTACCGTTGGTGATACTCTGCTAGAGTTTCGACTCGCAGAAATCGCATTCGCGTAGCGCATCGGCATAGCAAAGAAGCGTGAAGTGAAAGCTTCAGTACAGACAGCGTTGTGACCGAGAATATCCTAGAAATGGATATCAAGAAACTCCTCGTAAGGAATTTGACACAGACGAAACATCCTCAGTTTCTGAACAAGCCGGTGTCAAACACTTCAGCATGCAGCAGCCAGTCGCAGCGTAGGATTAGAGACCCCGATCTCATCCTATGGCACGGATGTTCGCCGCGATGACCCTCCCAGACGTGGAAATCTTCACAGACCCCCAGGGAAAAGGGTGGGAGGAGTTTGTGATAAGTTTCAAGATGAAATACTGCGATTGGGGCTGCGAAATGATATGCTAGTGCACCTATTTCTGTCGAATTTAGGAGGACACCCAAGGATGGTCGCAGAAGCGTTACCTCGAAGGATCAGAGAGGGCTCACTAGAGGATATCATTGAGGCAATGCGCAGTCAGTTTACTGTCCACGACTCCGCAACCCAAATGAAGGCCTACATGGAGCTCAAAAGCTTGAGGATGGGAGAAGATTTAGCCTCGTACTTAGTGGAGATAGAGAAACTAACGCAAAGAGCCTACCCAGACGCGTCAGAAAAGGAGCTGTCAAGAACTAGAGCTGCAGAACTAGTCTCTCAACTTACCGAATGGCCAGAATACTTGCAGTTCTTCTCTACAATGGAAAGCGCACCTAAGGAGCTGGCTTATGAGGTTGTGAAAGCCATGGCACAGCAATGCGAGCGCAGCAAGGGGGTGGCCATGATGGTCGATCTGCGAGCAAAAGCAGCTACGCCAGAATCGGATGCTGAGGCATCCACCAGTGAAGAACCAGCGTTAGGCGGAAGTGTGGAATCGGCTGGTCCCCCAGATGCTTCTGTAGCATCTTGGAAGAGGCAAGTACGCTGCTACAACTGTAATGAATTGGGACATTACAGCCGTGAATGTAGCAAGCCAAAAGCCTCGATACCAGCGAGGACACCCAGAGAAGCTGCAAGGAACTTCACGACATCACTAAATAAGTGGAGGTGCAACTCGATGAGTTCGTCGCCGATAAACAGTGAGCTAGTACGAGACCAGGTAATTGCAAAAGTGAGTCTACTGGGCCTAGTCCGAGAAGCAGGGCTGAATACGGGATCGAAAGTCAGTATCATTCCTTTGAAGTGCTCGTAGCAAGCAGAGATAAAGGTTCGATCTGGATGCGGATGTAGAGGAGATTCCGACAGACCAGCTAGAGCCCTACGATGCCTCAAATCTTATATATAAAGCTGAATGTCTGTTTGTCTGTCTGTGTGTCTGTCTGTATGTCTGCCTGTCTGTATGTGTGTACGTATGTTCCGAATAGAAAATTCCATTTCTGAGCCGATCGGGACCAAACTTGGCACACATACACTTCG